AACCTTCATGTGCGACTGCAATACTGAAACAGGCAAACACGAATACGAGGTCATTGGAGGAAAATGCAATATAAATAGTAAAGTCTAATATTTTTACTATATGCCATAAACACCAAAAGAATACAGAATGCGATGCTGTAGAGTACGATGTTCGTTAGCAGAATCCCTGGCTGCACGCAATATTTCAAATACCAGTGAAGATTGGTTGCACAGTGGGTTTTGCCATTTGAATTTCAGGCACTGAACGTCGCACTCTATGGCATATCGCCATCAACGAGGTCATCCATGGTGTTTAAGGCATATAGACTATTTGTATAATAATACAATTGTGCGATTCATCAAGCGCAAACAGATCTGATGAAATTAAAAATTTTTTTCAATAAAATACATATAGAAAAGACAAAGTTAAAAATATGAATTACTGTGGTTACCTGCGCGAGAAAAATTCAACGCCACTTTACTACCAAGAGATCGGTCCTCTGAAAAATCGTGCATGCACATGCCTAGAAATATCTCATTACATTTGGTCAATAGAATAATTGCGTGCATAGGATGCATTTTACTGTTCAGGATATTCTGAACTCCATAAGACTGAGCTATCCCCAACCAGAACCATACGCAGCGGGTGTGGAGGGAGGGGGAGGCAGCAGCGAAAAAACCTGGGGGAAAATTTAATAACGTATTAATGTTATTATAAGTTATTAGCCAAATCATGGCGCTTATAATCTTGTGAATCAGAATCTAAGATTCTGAACATGTACTTTCTCTTTGCCTGCACGCTAGGACAGATCCATTGTAAAAATATAGCCGAATAAAACTTTGGAATTTGATTATTTTACTGTGAAACTTTGCCTTAAAAATATTATCGAAATCAATAGAGTGGTAAATTTTGTCCCTCGAGATTTGCACGCGCGGGGTTGATTTTATGTACCACGTGATGAACGTTTTGAACACCTCGTGACCGCTTCGAAACTTTCAACAGTGTTCGCAAACAATCTGCGATGTTTGACAGGGATTGTCAGGGAATATTGCTTGTAAATAATATTTTGATTATGCGAATTGTAATTCTAAAGTTCTGAAAAGAACTATAAACGCCCAAGCATGTTTTAGAACTACAAATTAAGGTAAAGAAGAAAATTTACTACAAATCTTTCACCTCAGTGTGCTTGTCTTTATTAACTGTACTGAACATGTTATTGTAGTCTATAAATAACCAAACAACCTGAATATTCGCGTATTTTTTGTCAGTTCAAGAATGTTGTCGACTCTACCTTTACTTCTTGAAACATAGTCAAGTATTACTATTAAAGAGCTCTAAAAATAATTTTCTCAATCATTAAACCACCAATTCTACTAGAACATCGCAGATTGTTTACGAACTCCGTTGAAAGTTTCGAAGTGGTCACGAGGTGTTTAAAAAGTTCATCACGTGGTACAGAAAATCAACCCCGCGCGTGCAAATCTCGAAGGACAAATTTACCACTCTAGTGATTTCGATAATAGTATTGCTTATACTGTAGCCTCCTCTGCAGGAATCTCTCTTTTTAGTGCCCGCCTGCTTACGGGATTCCTGAGGAAGTGGCTAGGTTTCCCTCATACATATTTCACAATTGCCTTGCTTAATAAAAAATGCATTATGACCAGGGAATCTCCCCAACAAACCAATACCTGCATCAGGGCCTCTTTTAACATGTAGACTGGGGGATGTCTCCCCTCCAGCCCTCTTACTGGCCCCTTTAGTCGGCAATTTTGTCCCCCTCCCAATTAGGTCCCTAAGAACTACCTGCAGTAGGTGGTCAACCATTAAGTTGTTAACATTTCTGAATTTGAACATCTTCTGCAGGCCCATAACTAGCTATGAGTCAACCGAATCAGTTGACTCGGTAGGCCAGAATTTGGGGACTGAAATTTAAACATTGCCAGAAATTCTAGTTTAGTTTTTCCAAGCAAAGATACTCCAAAGAGATCCTATCTTGTTCTTCAGTGACACTGAGAAGACGAATGCGTCGATTTCAAGTACCCCAATACATGTAATACAGTACTGTAGAATGATAATATGATAATATACACCACGCACATTCTCATTACCGCACCGTCACACCATGTTGCCTTATTGGGACTGGAAATAGCTTATCTGAGCTTCAAACATTTTCTGAGGATCATACCCGCAGACCCCTCTAGAGGCTCGCACCTTCGGTGGTCGACCGGGTGTCTCAGAATCCTAGTTACGGCCTGATCTGCTGCCCTATGGCGTACACTTATTAGTTAAACCATGCATATATATGCTGGTAGCTGTAGTGATACAGACCTGCCGACTGGAACTTCTCCAGGTCCCCCGCTAAATATGTCCCCTCCAATTACACATCCTTAGAAGAAGCCCTGACCTGCATGCATGTCTTACAAAATTTACAAGAATACAACATAGCAAATCCATACCTTACTATATACGTAGTAGTGTGTAGTATAATGTCGTTTTGACTCAATGAATCTGTTTTATTTATTAGAGAAGCCGTGGCAAAGAAAACGACGTCGTTTATATGGATGAATCTAAACTGATGTTGAAGTATTTGTTTCCTTTAAGTGAAATTATCCAAGATTTTTATGACCAATTAAAGAGCATAACGTCTGGATATGCGAGGTACAGTGTATTGTAACATTCAATATAAATGCGAAGGAACACGAGAAATAATTCTATTGCTACAACAATAATATTGCAATTGATCCAACAAAAGCTATTTAAGAGGTTTCTAATTATCATTGCGCCCAGTTTTCCTTATATTTAGAGGAATGGGTTTGGGGAAGAAAGAGATTACTCTTACTTTTATTCATACTCTTACTGCCCAAACTAATACCATTTGTATAAGGATATTTGGATTTCAGTTAAGTTAGATCATGTCATCGGAAACAGCAGGGACATACCGACATCTGCTTGGGGGAGGGGGGCGACTGAACTCAAAAGTTAGGCCCCTCTTCCTTTCTACGCGGAAAATGTTGTGAATTAGAGCATTTTTTACTTCAATTTTTCACAATATTCCTTACTATTTAACACGTTCCGCAATTCCAGCATTTCGGGGCCTCCACTGGGGAAATTGGGCCCTCTTCCTTGACATTTGTTTGGGGTGTTACCCCCCCGCCCCCACATTCCCCAGTAGTTACGGCCCTGGACAGGCATTGATTGAGATTCGTAGTTTGGGTGCCAAATTTAGTCAACGGAAGTTGAAGAGCTTAAAGAGTTTGAAGAGCTTAAAGGCTATTTGTAAAGAGGTTTAAAAAGACCACAAATATCGTCGAAATGTGACTTTAATTTCTGAAATCTATGAATAATAGTCATCCTATGTCTTCACTATACGGCATTATGATTTATGAAAATAACGCAAGCAGTCGCATCAATTACGACAAACTGCATTGATTATTTACCTAATTCTCATCAAATTAGTCACATATCAACAGGTTCAACAAGTGATTCATTCAGTGATTCATATTTCTAATTTTAACTTTTTAACCGTTTGTAATTGTATATCATATATTTTTTTTAAATTTGTTATAAAATAGATGAAATAGCTTAACTGTATTTAGTCTGATGATGTCGCTTGTAATGTGACGAAACGTTACTCAATAATAAATTTATATACCAATGAAATGTTTTTTGAATATGCCTCTTTTACGAGTTATTTGCTGGGCAATAATATTTTTCATCATCATGCAAGAGTGGACAAATTATCTAAAGCATGTCAGTCAAGTACTGAGAAAATAATATAGATCCGTCAAATGAAAATGTGGGTAGCGGTTTTTTCACTAGCCTTAATTCTATTCCCAATGAAAGAGGTTTTAAGATGGCTTTCTTAAATATTGTCAGTTTGCCAAAAAAGATTGATGAAATACGTTACTCAATGTCCAACAAACACATTGACCTGATTGGTTTTAAGTGAGACCCGACTTGATTCAAATATTTCTGATTGTGTGATTGACCTTGATGGCTATGACATTGTTAGAAAAGACCGATCAAGAAATGGGGGTGGAGTTTGTATATACTTACGTAGCTCAATCAACTATAAAATAAGAAATGATCTTATTCCCTCCGAATTGGAGGCTGTTTGTGTAGAAATTAGTAAGCCACATAGTCGGCCATTTTTGGTTACAACTATTTATCGACCACCAAATTCATCACATGATTTTTTTGAAAATTTTGAAAAATTAATCAAAGCGATTGATGATGAAAATAAAGAAATGTATATTCTAGGTGATTTAAATTGTGACATGCTTAAAACAGAATCCGATACACCAACCAAGAAAATAAAATCACTGTATGAACTATATCAATTGTCACAATTAATTAAGGAAGCTACTCGGGTAACCATGACAACCTCCAGCCTCATTGATCATATAGTTACTAATACACCAAAGAAAATCTCAGATTCTGGTGTCATTCATACAGGAATCAGTGATCATAGTTTGGTATTTACCATCAGAAAAATCCATATTTCTAAGAAACAAGATGAAAACATAGTGGAAATCAGAAATATGAAAAACTTTGATGACAAAAAATTTGTTGAAGATTTACTTAATCAGCATTGGGAATATGTATACTTCTTCGCTGATAATCCAAACACTATGTGGGAGATTTGGAAGAAATTGTTCGAGGAAGTACTAAATAAGCATGCACCCATTCAACAAAAAAGATCAGATCAAAAAAAGTCCCTTGGATTACTAGTGAAATCAAAAAGCTTATAAATAAGAGGGATAGATCTAAGAGAAAAGCCATTATTAAAAACCTTGAAGCAGATTGGTTGGTGTATAAACAAACCAGAAATAAAGTAAAAATAGAAATGAAAAAAGCAGGGCTGCATAAAATATTTTATTTTCTGGGACTACAAAGCCAACGAAAATATTTTCTGCAAGCTGGGAATTTTTTGCACGCTGGGAACACTGGGAATCTTATGTTTAAATTTGATCACTAAACAAAATTCAGTGTATTCTACGCACCATTTCATTATTTGGCAACCACTTGGCGTAGGGTAGACGTATTTTATTCTGGCTACGGAATACATATTCTTCATATTTTAATTTAACAACAAACATTTACATTTTAATGGATAATGAAAGTGACCACTGGGAACTGACTGCAGTTTAAATTAAGATTCTAGATTCTTATAATTTTAATATATTTGTTATGAATATCATCTTAATTAGTGGATGAAAGTTCATGAGAAGGACAGAAGGCTGTTGTGTATTGGAACATATTGCTTAGATTTTTTACTACATTGTAAGAAATCACCACACTCGTAGACTTTTTAATCCACATACTGTAGTTGTTAAATGAGTTGTATTCATATATAACTGGAGTGGTATTTTCAGAAGTAGCTAATACACTAGATGAAATCAATTATAACAACCGCATAGAGGATTCGTCTTAATATACTGCTGTCTGCCTGTCTTTGACCATAATATCAGGCTGCTGGAGTGCCGCCTGTACCGGTATATTGGAAACTTGCGTTACTTGCATGTTGCAAACATCACTAGTTCACTGCCTACAGCTTATTATTCAATTATGTCATTTTCTTCCTTTCTGTTTTTCCTTTCTTTCTCTTTACTTTTTTTTTCTTTTGAGACTTTTAAGTTTTACCCTCCATTTTTTTTCTGTCAACCTCAAAAATTTTCTGGGACCAATGGTCCCGCGGTCCGCTATATTATGCAGCCCTGGAAAAAAGCCAAAAAGGATTATTACTCCAAGAGAATTGGGTCATTCCAGAAAACATCCATACCACCCCCACGGAGGAAATTGGAAGTTAACCCCCTACCCCCTTCGGATGTCCTAATACATTTACTATTATCAGAAACAATTTTATCTCCCCTCCCCCTCCGGACGGCAGAAATTTCCTCCGTGGGGGGAATGTGGATCTTTTCTGGAACGACCCATTGCTGGTCAAAAACAAAATCCAAAGGAGGCTTGGAAAACAATAAACAACTTACTAGGCAGACAAAACAAACCAGAGTTGAGTATAAGTGGAAATAATTTAACAAATTCAGAAGACATTGCAGAGGGCTTTAACGAATTCTTTTCAAATATTGGGCCTGACTTAGCTAGCAAAATTGATACTTCGAATCACAATTTTCAAGAGTATATTAAGAAACCTAAATCAGAATTCACTGTATTTGAGTCAATTACCACCAACAAAGTTTATTATCTCCTACGTGGCCTCTCTAGTGCAAAAGCCACTGGCATTGACAAAATTTCAAGTAAAATTTTAAAACTAGCAGCACCTGCTATCTCCAGTTCATTAACTTATATTTTTAATCAGGCTATTATTACACTATGCACTTTTCCCGATGAATGGAAAATGGCAAGAGTGTCACCTCTTTATAAAAATGGCCAAAAAAATTTGCCTGGTAACTACCGACCAATTTCTGTTTTGCCAGCTGTTAGCAAAGTTATGGAAAGAATTTTATATGACCAACTATATGATTATTTGACGAAATTTCAGCTACTTAATGATTGTCAATTTGGCTTTCGCAAATCTCACTCAACTGCTACAGCGTTACTAGACTGTACTAATAGTTGGTATATGAATATTGACAACATTTTTACTAAAAAAACTCGAAATTTATGGCGTAAAAGGAGATGCTTTGGCTCTACTAAAATCGTACTTGATAAATCGCACTCAGAAATGCCAAGTTAATGGAACTATTTCATCGGAGCGGTTGATTAAGTGTGGCGTGCCACAAGGCTCTATTTTAGGGCCATTATTCTTTTTATTATATATTAATGACTCGCCTCAGTGTCTAAGCAAAACAAAACCTCCACTGTTTGCTGATGATACAAACCTAACAGCTGCGGGAGAATCTATAAATGATGTTGAAGCTGCAATGAATTCTGATTTAGGAAACCTTAGGAAATGGTTAATTGCCAATAAACTAAGTTTAAATGTGGCCAAAACAGAATTTATATTAATTGGATCTAAACCAATGATAAAAAGTATCTCAAATAAACAACCAAACATTATCATAGAAAACAAACCAATTAAACAAGTATATGATTGCAAAACTCTTGGAGTGACTGTTGACCAGCATTTGTCTTGGAAGAATAATACTGAAACAATTTGCAAGAAAATAACATCCGGGATATCAGCTCTTCGTCAAATAAAAAAATTTGTTGAGAAAGATACACTTGTCTCTGTGTATAATTCTATTGTTCGCCCATACTTTACATATTGCTGTGAAGTAAGGGATGTGTTTGGTGAAACACAATCAAAACGCCTCCAAGAGCTCCAAAACAGAGCTGCTCGAATCATAATGAATATGAGCAATGATGTAGATCATCTGGTTGCTTTAGATGCTTTAGACTGGAAGCCACTTAAAACGGAAAGAATAAAGGCTAAGTCCAAACTGATGTTTAAATTGTTGAATAAAATGGGTCCTAAATCACTTACTGATTTATTTACTTTCAAAAGTGAAATGACAAATTATAAACTTCGAGATGTGGAAAGTACTCTTTGCTTACCACAGCCGCGTACAAATAGCTTGAAAAAAAGTTTCATGTTTGACGGGCACACATTTAGAATTCTTTACCAACCGAAATTAGAGAGAGCAACTCCATCATGTCCTTTGAAACTAAAATCGCTACTCACATTTTTGAATACTCACATTTTTGAATAGCATTATTATTCTTATACTTATATAATTATGTATATATATATATATATATATTTCTTACTGTATGTAATATCTTACTATATACTATATCTTTGTAATTTTATTATTGTACACGCCCCTTGTGGAAATCAGCCTAGGTTGACAATGGTTAGCGTGTTTAAATAAAAGTTTCTATCTATCTATCTATCTATCTATCTATCTATCTATCTATCTATCTATCTATCTATCTATCTATCTATCTAATATATCATTTATAGACCCTCCGCTCGGGGGATTCGGCGAAATATTACCCGCAGTGATGATATTTAATAGTCCATGATTTTTAATACTATAAATCAACTTTTCTTGCTCTGTATTTACTAAGAAGAATTCTCATAGCTGACATGAATTAAATCCGATCGCGAGGGTAAATACTTTAAGGTGGCTCCCTACAGTTGTACAGAAACAGCAGCGAAAATAAGGTCGTCACAATGACGCAAAATATTTGCTATTTATGTGAAATGGGGGTCTTTTTGGAAGTAGAAATGCTTGCATAATCTTTATACTTCAAGTGTAATCGTTCGAAAGAAGCAAATTGTGTGTTGCTATGGTAACAATGTAGCCTAAGCAACAACAGACAAAGATCAAATGTTGGACTAAAAACGAATTTATTAAAATTTCCTTCGGTCAAAGTTGCTGAAATTTTGTAGGTGTAAAGAGAATAACTAGTGGAAGATTATATCAAAAAATTAGGCAGGGTTATAAATTCAGTTTTTGAGATATTACGTGAAATTTGTTCCACAAAAACTGTTTTACAGAATTTTTAAAAATTCAGTATATTACAATAAATGACTAGTACTTTTAAAATACAAAATTTCAGAAAAATTGACCGAAGAAAAAAAAAATTATTGCATTTACAAAATTTGCGCGGTCAAATGATTTTTCGCTGACGTGATAAAATTTCAACTCCACAAGATTACCATCTGAGAATGCGCGCCCATCTATTGCGTGACTTACACGCAAAAGCCAACATCGCGGAAAAACGTCTGCGCATGCACCAAATTATGAAAATATGGCGGGGAATTTGAATATCAATTTCTAAAACAAAAACATGCTTATTAATTGGTCAAAAATTAGTAAAACAAACGAGAAAATATAGCAAATGGGTAGACTAAACATTAATTGAAAGCGTCCTGGCATTTAAAGTATGGAATGAAATATAATTCATGTAAAAAATTGTTGATTTTAACGGACACGACTTCGAAAATTTTTGTAAAATTATTCAAAACAAAAATTCAAACTCAAAGTTAAGAAAACTCTCGAAAAGTGAAGCTTCTTAACCCACTCAAAATGTAGAATAAATCCTAAAGTTTAATTAATGTGAACACGAAAATTTTTTATATTTGGCGACACAGTTTTTTTTAAAGAAATGTATCTCAAACGAAAATTCGGAAATTGTCATTGCTTAGTTGATAAACAAAATGTTTCAGACGATAAATTTGTCAACAATCACCTTTAGTTCATGTTCTTGTACAATACAATTTCTTGATCCTTCTGGCTGTATTTATTTCTAGTTTTTAGAATGACATGTTTATTTTTGCGCTTGAAATCTGGCTGTAAAGACGCACAATGAAGTCACTCCTTTTTACCGCCATTTTGAGCCTTCGGAAACGTTCGGAACAGCTTCTCATCAAGTTCGCAATACTATTACAGGAGTTCGTGCCGTTTGTCCAAGTACTGGCAGTCGTTTAGTGCATCGGAACTCGAAACAGGCTTGCAATACGATACGATGTCTTCTTCCGAAAGACGAAGCGGCGAAGCAAACAGAATTCGACGTAGGGCAATAACATCTTCTAAGGCGTCGTGTGCATCAAATGTCTCGTTGAACAAACGGTCGTAAAATGCTGATTCTTTCGACGAACAAGTTTGGCCATTAGACAGATTTAGTGCTTCATGTTTGCTTTTCACCAGATGATCGAACTGGGATAGGCTATCGCCAAACCAAATTCCCATCGCCTGTAATTTCGCATGAACATCATTGCAACTGTGGCGCAAAAAAATTGGGGTGTCAAATTTCTTGGAGTTATGGCCGATGAGAACCGTGCAAATATCTTTCGTTGTTTCTCTTCTGAGATTGTCGATGGATGTTTTCAGGTAAACAATAAAGCGGGACAAGGCATCATCACAGGTAAGGGTTTTTAAAGCTGCTGTTTCTTTAAAAAGTGTTCGTTTCCCGTTCAGAGTTTTTACCGAGAGTTTGTTTACTCTTGAAGCATGTTTGTCAATGTCTTTTGTGGGCAAAATATATTCTGAAAACGAATTATGACCTGATTTGTCGATAGCTGACAATTGACACAACTGGGCAGCTTTGCCTGTAGTATTTGTTTCTGTGTCATATATAATAATGTTGTAAAATAACTTGCTGTCATATATCATAGCTGGAAATACTGGTCGGGGGGTAAAGGGTGAAACTGCCACTTCATAGCTTTTTAAAGTTTCTACAGAGATATGGTCATCAAACAAACGAGAAATTTCTTTGATTTGATGGTCAATTGCAGTGGGCCCAGTTGTTTGGTCGATATTAAGGCCAACATTTGTTTCATACGTTTTCCCCTCCTGTTTTTCCTTTCTTGCAATGCCGTGGATTCTCTTCGTATGTAACTGGTTTCTACGCTTTTTAAATTCAAGAGAATTCTTTCTTTGACAATCTTTGTCTTTCTTTTTTTCCATTTCTAGGGTATATCTGGTACAAGTCAAGCCTGGATCTATCCTCAAAGCTTCTAGAGTTCTGCAGACATAACCGTATCCAGCATTTGTTTGAGCCACTGCACAGGCGACACGGAAATCATTGCTCTCACTTCCTCCGTAGAATCGAATTTTTGGATTCTTTGAGCCTACAGTACTGTTGAGGGACTCATTTCGTTGCGAGTTTGCAGCAGGAGAAAGTTTTGTAATTACATTGTCGGTGTAGTACTGTGCAAACAGATCTTCAAGGGCAGATTTTAATGGCTGTCCATGCAAATCTTTTCCATACGGAAGGTTGGCATGCCTGTAATTGGACGAATCTTGTTTCCATCCACACCATGACTCGCTACAACAGGAATGGTCGCCAAATGCATGAGGGACAATACATTTCATTGATGACTGCATGGACTTTGGATCTCCTTTGTTTTGGCCGATTACAATGGAAAAACATTTGACCAGATATTCAATCACTTTTGACGACAATGGTGAACAGTCAGTGAATTTTGCCGTTTTGCTGAGGTTGTATAACCTGGTTGTGAGAGACCGTTTCATGTGGATAATGTCGCTGAATTTCTCTACTCCGTAAGGAACCTGCTGGTGAATATAGCTTTCTGTTGTTGAATCGTCATCACCTGTGTATGTTGAATACTTTACACCTTGTTTGGGAGCATTATTGAAGAGTTCAACAGCAGAAATTGGCTCCATAACCTTAGATGAACCTGTGTGATTCTTTCTACAGTCATGTTTGGTTGGGGTTGTTTTCATCCGACGAGTATGATCACATGTCATGCATGTTTTGTTTTTTGTGGCATAATCCAAAATTTTCCCAGTATGTAATCCCATAACTGCTCCTTGCCCAGTATTGGAGTTGAACCCTTTCCCTCGTTTCTGCCAACCCATATCATATGAACAAGGGACAGGTAATAAATTATTTTCATCTGGTTGTGCTGTAGTAATTGCATGGTTTTTTGTATCTGCGAAGCAGATATATTGCTATCGCAAACGTGACCGTCAGTGTTACCGTATGTTAACAGATAGCCATTCAGCGACGAGCTTATATAATTTAAGCCAATTTAGGCCAATCAGCGATTCGTTTACATCAATTGTTTACATCGTGCCCGCATCTAACCTGCGAACGGGCATACTTTAGCCTCGTCAGGCCTCGTGTATAAATCGTGTTTATATTCTTTCAAAAATATCGTGATACTTTTATCTATCCTGAATTGGCTGCCTTTTTTTCTCGCCATTATATTTGCGATATTATTCCGAAGTTATTTATCAACATGGAATCTTATCCTCATCTGGTAAGTAGTCAAATACCACATATTATATATTTAAATACCAAATTTGTGCAAATATATGTCCCACATATTTTATAATACATGAGTTCGGCAAATATTTGCTATACTATCTATAGTTAATATTGCCGTATCTTCGGCGTAGAGTTTACATGGAATGCACTTTATAATACATGAGTTCGGCAAATATTTACTATACTATCTATAGTTAATATTGCCGTATCTTCGGCGTAGAGTTTTATACATGGAATGTAAATTTTATTAATATATTACACTGTATAAAATATTGGATATTTTCGAGGATATTTTAAGCCATTCGTCAACATAGTTCACAAAAAGATTTATACAGTATTAAAAACAATCCTTCTGTGACTTCTGTAATATTTTAAACAGTGAAAACATTCTCAGGAGATATTGAATTAAATCCTGGTCCTGTATTTCTGTATATTAATTGACTCCATAACTCTGTTCAAAACAACAGTCCAACTATAAAGCTGTCATCAAATGTAGTGTTAGAGCAATGGTTGAAGATGTTATCAGTTAAAATACTTATACATTTTGGTTTTACACATTAGAGTTAATTAACAAAATTTTTACAAACATTTTCAAATAAAAGAATCCTCACCCTCCCGAGCCTCATTACATTGTCATTTTGCTTTCTAACATAAATATTTTTCTTTAGAGATTAATACAAGAATGAAGAATAAATGTACTGGATATTGGCTGGATAATTTTGTCAGAACAACCAACTTGCAAGACAATCTTACCTAAATTCATTAGTATGGAAAATAACTTAACAGCTACAATGAGTAATCATATATTATATGGTGGATTTGATCAGTGACACACAATGTACAAAACTAAACTTGTGATACCTTCTACTCAAACCGATAATCTCCCACAACACGATTGTTTTGTGTGAATGTGCTGTACGTGTTAAACCGAACAGTGTGGTATATCATTAACTGTGCACAGAACTGGAATTTAATTATATACTTCACTCATGACCTTCAAAACATTCTCAATTATTCAGTGGTCTTCGACATGTTCACCAAATATTTTGTGTATGTTACTCAACAGTTAACATTGGCAAGTGTAAACAACAAGTGACATAACTTTTGTTTCATATGATTACAATAAAGTTTTGAAAATTTGATGAGTATGGATTGAATTGACAGGTGACAGTGAAATTTTTATTTCCTGACTGCATAATTATCTGTTACAATCATAATCACATTATAAAGTTAGTTAAATTTTCTCTGTGCTGGGGTGGGGATGGGTAGGGGGGGGGGGGTAGCACTTGCCCTGCTGCACTCCCCGCTGTGTACAGCCCTGTTTTAAATCTTATCTGCCATTATAATAAGTGATGAAATATTTCAATTGTCCCATGTCATCTTCATTATTCAGTTTCTTTCAAGAAAATACAAAATGTGAATCAAGTTTTTTCGCAGATACATGTACGCGTCGCGTACCTATTTTTTCATTTGTTGTCACTTCTTTGCATGTGAGATGGGCCACCTTCTCAACTGCTTTCCCTGTTTCCCTTTCTCTGGTTTTAAAACATTGTCTACTCATAGGTGGGATGTTCAATATAGACATTGCACTGTTCAGATGTGTCTGGCCAATTCCTGTGTGAAGACAAGCTAAAGCAGCATTGGTCTTAATGTCGTATCCCATTGGGCCAAACTTTCCAGATTTGTGCATGGAAGATGTCTTAATTGAGTTTTCTGCCGAACAAAACTGGCATTTTACTCTTAGCTTACTTGCTAATCCATATTGTTTTTCATCCAGGACATTGGCCAGTGAAAGAGGACTTTAAATTAAGAAATAAATTATTTGATTTGCTTATATACAAGCTGTTAACATGTGTCCATATTGCACATATATTTTTGCAAGGAAATCAAACAAATTACACAAACAAAAAAATTTTTTAGTACGATATACAATAAATACCCACATAAAAACCCAGTATTTTTTATGTTACAAATGTAGGGTTTTACTGTTACTGTATATACAACTTGCTTGTTTATTATATTAACATTTCTTTATGACTGTGTTCTTGTGTATACATTTCCATACATTTTAAATAATACAACTAATAAACTTCCAATAGTTAATTCAGCTGTAAAAGGTTGAAAATAAAAGCCAGGAGTGAGGGGCTAAAGGTTTTTGTGTCCATTTGTATTTTTACCTTTTTGGCAGAATTGACATTGATGTAGTTGGTCCTTTAAAACGTCAATATCGACTATTCGAGCTCCATGGGGCCTATTTGTTTCGATATTTTCTTGTTCCTATTAAAAAAAACCCACTTTATTATAAACTAAGCCGGAGTCGTAGACATGCAGAAAAAATTTCCTGAGGTTTTTTCGTACATACCGATGTCGCTCTTGTATAATATTTCGCTGGGACGTATGTATTCGCCGTTTCACTGTCAAGTTGTCTCTTTCTCAACCAAGAATGCAGTCCTTCGTGAAGTTTTGCAGAATTACTCAGATTTCTTGTCGATAATTTTCCAAATTTGCCGGAGGATAAACGATTATTAAACCGAAAGGCCATGTTTGTTTTGCTATTACTGTAATTTACTTGGGATTTAAATCTGCCGCTCAAATCCCGCAAGTTTCCCGTACACGCGAAATTTTCCCGCATATCTGATATTTCCACGCAATGTTCACGCACATACAATTACGTCATTTCGTTACCAGCCCCATGCTTAAACAACTGTAGGGAGCCACCTTAATGGCAACAAACATGAAGAGGCTTAGGGTATGAAATTAAATCATGCGAATCCCGATTTAAAGTAAAAAGAGTATTGCTAATGCAGAGTAATGATTAGTGCAATGCAATTAATGTTATGTAACTAATGTTTAATTATTTTTTGTTGAAAGCTAGGAGTTTCTCGGCGCTTGCTCTTTAGTGGTACAATTTTTAAATATAGTTTTCCATCTATCTACTGTCTAATGAATACATGAATGAATGAATGCATGAATGCATTGCCTGAAAATGGTGTATTGCTTACCAATAAAGCGCACTATATTGCACTGGCTGAAAAATCTGGGTGGATCGGTGCCTTTGATTACTATTGGCAAGTTGACGTGAAAGGAAATAAGATATTAACAATTTTGATTCGAAGAATAAATTATCCCCGTGCCAACGGAATTAGTATCTGCGCCGTTCCGGGCCTAAGCCCAGTGCGAGGATACTAATTCTGCCCAATTATTTACACCTGGGAAAAGAAAAGCATTAACGAAGTTTAAAGTTGTGGCATAGGTCTATGGGGGGACTTCCTCGCTGATCTTAAAAATATGTCTGTTTACTAGGCGTGGGATAAGCACGATTTCAATTTTCAAAAGACATATATTTGTAAAATCGTTTCATACGATGAGGAAACGTTGAAGAAATCGGAAGGATTGATTTACTATGGGAAATCGTGAAATAGACGGCATGTTCGCTTTCAATGTTTAATAAATTTTGTTGCTTCATTTTTTTTCCTAAAATGTACTTGCACTGCCTTCCTTTTGAATGAAGCTGTAAGTTTTCCAAATCACTTGTTTAAATTGTTTAATTTAAGAACATAACTAAAATGTAAAGTGGAGGGAATTAATTTGAAGACTGAACTGAAATTACTCAACAATTTGATTAAGCAAAAACAGTTTGTCAGCAAAAGCAGTTAAGTTGAATGAACATTTCAAAACATTTTTCGAAGCGTTTCAGATTAAATTTTACATTAATTCAAAGCTTACAAAATGCAAAATAACACACCTAGAGTATATATTTCGGACATTCATTGTTGTATAGATAAAGTACTAATCTTTTCAATGTTTTGCCATTTTGTTAAACGTAATTAAAAAAATCGGGTTGTCCATGGCAAGACATGACGCCACAACGCGAGCCTGCATGCGTTCTGTTTTGGCCAATTACGAATACTTTATGTTAAATCAATGTTTGGAAAATATAGGCGAGGGGTTTGCTGCATGCGTGTGTTTCTAGTATTGGTATTTTTCCGGAAAGTGGAGAGTGCTTTTCGCGCAGTTTTATCGGTTGCTCGTTTCCAAATATCCTTGCACTATTCACCATTGGACAAAAACAAAATGGCTTTCCGTCGTGTTCCGGTTACAGGCGAGCAATTATTTTTTGTTTACCAGTATGTAGAAGTGTCCTATAAAACTATTTGTAATGAATAAAATTACTAAAAGCGTGTAAATACTGTTTTGTTTACAAGTATTATGGGAGCGGTAATACAAATTGTTTTAAAAATATGGACATTTTTGTTTTGTTATGGTCATTTTTGTTTTGCCATGGTAAAAGCAAAAACAATTATTCACTTCAACGTCGGTGAATAGCTCCAGAATATCCTTGCACTATTCACCTCCACATCGGTGAATAATTGTGTACAATCATCTTTGGAAATCATGTATACTTCAAAACACTTGCTAAATTTGGTTTCTGTGTGCTTTAAATTATAAAAACATGCTAAACTACAGATTTGTATACAACAGCAAGTCAGGAAATCAAGCAATAAAAACGTATGAACATAAGCATTGAAATTGTTCTGATATTCTCTCGGGGGCTCAGGCGCAGTTTCATTTCATGCGTACGTTTCTTGTCTGCCTCTGGTTCAAATATTTATTATATTTATAATATTCTTATAATATGCTATTAAATTCGGTGTCATATATATGGAAACGGTATTAACTTTGCATTGATTTACTTATTAATTTCAATAGAGATTGCTTGTGATGTTACTCTGAGTGTATATCCGCACCAGGCAGGCTTGAAAAATATGCCTGGCCACGGTGGGAATCGAACCTACGACCTTTGGAATACTAGCAATCTCGTTCCCAGAGTATGCCTGTTCGCGGGTTAGGTTGTGGCATGACTCTGGGGAAATCGAATTTTTTTTATCCAAAATGAGATAAATGGCGCATGCGCTTTTATTGCTTTTGTTTATTCCGCTTACTAAATTCGCGCGGGCACACGCTCACAATCGATATTGTTTTAAACAAAGATTCTCATCAGAATATAGTGTACAAAATGGTTTTTTATACGTTTAAAGGTGCTTTAAATCGTACTACTATTAAATTGTATTCAATGGCAAATACTAAAAGAGCTATGAAAGCTGTTCTAGCGAAGAGGGCTTGAATATTCGTTAAAAGACGAGACATTCAAATGTACCTCGGCCATTGGCCCATTGTAAAAGGATGAAGATGTTTTGCCAACAGGTTATGGGCTTATTATGGCAAATATTAAGATATTTCAGCTGCTACCTGACGTGTACGACGTGTTACTTGGCGTAATTAACTAATTCTATCGTGATAGTAATATCTCCACATGAATGACCAAGGCATTTCTGCATGCATGATGTCAAAAAATTAATATGATACATACAGGCCATTCTGTGCTACACTATATTATGGTGATGGCAGCGATATCAAATTACCATTGGATCGACATGAGAACCTGACGTTTAAGCTGTTCTATATGCACACAGAAATATGTGTCTATGACAAGAAAGTGCAAGCATTTTTCAACTGTATACTGTAAACCTCTGAATATAATGCTCACCTCATTCCAAATATAAGCCCCCCCCCCTCCAAATATAAGCCCCCCCCCTGAATATAAGTCCCCTGAATATAAGCCCGGTATCCTACTATGTTATTTAACATTGACATTGTCTTTAAATATAGCAGAGAACGATATTTGAAACACTGTCATTGTCTTTATAGCTTACTATGTTAATGGTGTGTGTTATTACAAAAGTGTGTTATTTTTAACACATGTTTATTTTCCTGTTTATGAGTGACTGACTTGTTTATTACTAACACAATTGATTGTCCATGTAGAAGGCCCCCATGCAATAAG